TCTGTCTACAGACAAAAAATACGAATACCAATTATCTGTTTGAAGTAACAACAAGTCTGCATGAATGTCAATTGGAGATGGTCTCGAAGTGGACTCACTTGATCTAGCGTAAAGTCATCGATTGTGATTGCAATTTACGAGATTGCCTTAACAACAGTCGTACTGCAGGTATGAAGACCAAGATGGTGTTGCCTTTTGTATGGTCGCAGTCTCCTTTCGTTGTATAGAGGTTGTTTGACCTTGTTTTCACAACTTGGTCGAATTGGTAGGAAGACTTAGAGGAACGCACCTAGTCCGGAGTCCAGTGTCTGAATGATCATTTCCAAAGTTGAACCGTGGACGTGGTACATTCCCAAACGTTTCGCCGGCATCGTAGTCGGCGATACTCACTGACGATGCAGGCGAAACGTTTGGCAATGTACCACGTCCACGGTTTGACTTTGGAAATGATCATGCAGACAGTCGTACTGCAATTGTGATGTCAATGGTTGTGGTTAGATTGTTTATTAAAATGACGTGCACGACCCGGTCGAGAGAGTTGCGTTCGAGATGCTAATTAAACCAAATCGAGAGTGTGGAAGAAGACCTTGCATTTTTGATCTTACAATGTAGACGTATGTAATTGCTTGCTGTGTGTATGCAATACTTGCTAGTCGAAAAAAACTACATTCCGACCAAATCTACAATCACAACTTTAAGGCACTCTTTACCCAGCTTCCGGATAGGCCAATTTCAGAAGTCCTTCCATTCATCCATGAAGAAAAACTGGGTTTCGAAGAATCCCTTTGTGATATATTATGGCATGACTGTCCATTGAGAAGGATAAGTTGGCTAGATGGAAGGCGCTGCTGATGGGACCCAGTCGAGATTGTAGCTGTTGTCCATCCAACCTAGATGGGATATCCCATAAGGCGACATTCAAATATGAAAAATAAGTCACTATGAATTCGACTAATTTCACTTTCAATGTTTGGTCCTTCATCACATTAGGCTGCTGATAGTCTTGAAAACCTACTGTTAGCAAACACAAAGTACTAGCAAGTCCTTTAGCCATTTTCGTATTTTGCATTAAATCACTACGGAGATGTTGACTCTTGTCTTATTCCAACCCCTCTCCTTTTACACGAAGATGAGCTGGGTTTCGATGAATCTCCTAATAATACATTGTTGTGGAGACTTCCAATAAGTAGGAACGTGCAAGATTAAGAGACCCGTAAGTTGATCTCTCCAAATACGAAGGCTGGTTTCCTTTATTTTGCAGGTTGACGCCGTCCACAATACATCCTCCTCGGCTTCGGATTGAAACGAGCTAAGCTTTATTCCGCCACGCTAATTGACGGACATTGTCAGAGCTGGAATCGTTTTTTACAAAAGTCGTCATACTATCATACAAACTATATATAATCATATATTTACCTATATCTATAGATTGAATTCGAAGATATGAAGACAAAGATGGTGTGGTCTCCGGTATGGTCGCCGTCGTCTTCTGATGGAGTCGACCTTCGAATCTCTTCACGCAACACTTTTACTCGAAATGGAAGTAAGCTCAACAAATGCGATTGTGACAAAGGCAAAGATGGGGCCATCCAATCTATTAATGGACATACGAAGGATTTTTGTAATAGCTATTGCAAAAATTCATAAAAGCACAACAAAATAACAGTTTGCTATATTTCTTACCTCTACTGATAATCCCATTTACAGCAAAATAAAGCCTATCGTGGCTTACATGAATGGGGAAAAGCTATCTTTATAAGAATCCTCTATTAAGTTAATATCACCATGCTTTTTCTTTCAAGGGGAAGGAGGTTTGAAAAGTATTCATAAATTTGGCCCACCGGAAGCCAGTGATCTCTATTCAGGGCAAGTAAGGGCGATTGCAATCAAAGCAAAGGCTATGGATTTATAATGGCCTTTTGGAAAAATATTGTTGTCATCTCTCAAATCACACTGAAAAAGCAATATGTGATATTGGCCATATTTACGGATCATCACCCAAATCACATCATGCAATTGATCACGAATAACTGCATGCACAAGAGCCGTTTTGATGAATTGGTCATAAATTTATTGTCACGAGGCATTTCATTTCAATGAAAAACTTGGCAAGAAGATATTGTTAAAATTGTTCTCACCAGAAAGCAAGGGAAGCTTGATTGTATGTGAAGTAAAGTTGTGTTTCAAGGAATCTCTCGTTTCATAATTCTTAAGCGTACTTCCATTTCGAGTGAAAGTTTTGGGTAAAGAGATTCTAAGGTCCGTTCCACCAGTAGACGACGGCCGATTCCTCTTGACCAGCTGTCGATTGGCTTTACTGGAACATTCATGCCGATGCTGTTTCCGAGGCAATCTCCTTCGATTCCGATGAAAAAGTGCTAAGCTTTCGTCCGTCATATGACGGACATCATCAGAGCGAGGCAACATCGTCACAACAAAATTCAAGCTAACGAGTCAAGAAAGCTTTTTACACAAACAGACGAGTGGGCCTCAGGACACCATTGAAATGAATTGTTGGGAAGATTTTCATTTCGTATTAGAGTGCTTGAAGAAGAGATTCCAAGATCGATCTCATCAGAAGATGATGGCTGAGCTCAGTTTTACTGCAGCCGTTTGGCTTTAATAAAAAGTTGAGATTAACTCGGTTCATTAGACATCCTTTCTCGTTTTGCGCGAAAAAAGGCTGAGCTTTTGTCCATCCTATGATGGACCTTCTCAGAGCCGGAAAAAATCCTTCTATAATTCTTACGTTAACATTATGTCGAGAAGACTATCCGGCCATATCCTACCTCTTATTCATACTCATAACTAATACGGCATCACTACGCAGCAAACAGAGAATGCGATAAAGCCAAAGGTCACACCATCTTGGTCTACATATTTAGGATTAAAAAAACTGTATTGGCTCAAAGGAATGGAGTCGAAAATGGTATTATCTCTTTTCTTTGCATAGAAGTGGTTTGACGTGGTCTTCGCAACTTGGTCATGTTGTTCGAAGTCTTCTGACAGAGCAGTCCTTATACTTTCAAGCACCAGACCATAAACCTAGCATATTCCAATAATACACGAAAACCGGGTTTTGATTGATTTTTTGAAGTCGCATTGTTGTGGAGACTTCCATTTTGTATAAAAGCACATCTCAAATCGTTTTAGGTGGAAATAAGGTAGGATATCTCGCAGATTGCGTCAACCTTAAGATCGTATTACGGCCAAACGGTTGCAATACAACGGGAGCCAGCCGTCCTCTTCCAGTGAGTTAGAGCTTTGAATCTTTGTATTCATGCAAATTCATACGAAATGAAAGTCTTCCTAACAATGTTATCTCAGGAGATTCACAGAAGCCCAGTTATTAGTAGTAGCTACATTGAATTGTATTTAATCTCTCACTGCAAGGTATTCTCATCCAGACCAAATTGGAATATAGCTTCGACCTCGCCTGGGCCTCACGCGAAACCCTAGCGGAATTTTAAACCTGGAACTCACAAATGATTGTGTGAGAATGCAACTTCCAGTCGTTTATCACCTTTAACGAATTATGTTAAATACAGCTCTTATATCATATCACCGAGTACTCTCAAAATCCTCCTTATTAAACGGAGAAGCAAATGTCGTCCATTTTTCCTACGAAACCAGAGAAGATGCTTGCTGGACTGCTTCCAGTTTTGTATCGTTGAGAAGCAAATTTGAGGCAAGATAGGCTAAATCGGGCGTCGTCTTAGTATGAGACTGGCCTACGAATCTCTTTGGTATGCACATTCACCCTCTCCGCTTCCCCACACAACCCCTTTCAACTCCTCACGGGTTTGGGATAGCCAATAGGCATTAAACGCGGGTAAAATGCCTCTTCGCTACCGTCGCCAAGTCGACCTCCTTGTCGGTCTTGGCTCCTCTTGTCCGCCATTTTCTACTACTCTTTCTCTCACTCGCTGGCTCGTGCTCATGTTCATTTCAGCCGTCACCCATCAGGTTGTTGCCACAGTGCTCTGTTGCCTGTTGGTCCAACGAAAATGGCTGCAGCCTGACATGCGAGATGGGCGAAGCCGTCGTCAGACCAGGGCTCAACAAG